TCATGGCTGCAATACAATGGCATTTATCTCTCAGCATACCTGGGAAAATTATACTACTCCTACTCCATCCATCACCAATTTTGTTTAAATAAAAGAAGATGGCTACAGAAGATGGCATATAGACACAATTTTTAAGGTGATAATGTCCAGGAGCAGTGGTATTGATGACTGTGAATGAACAAGATGATACTTCGCTACTAGCATGACAGACTGGCACCTCCTACAGTACTGCACTTCAGGTTGCTTCAGAACCCGGCGAGGTCCACCAACAACCCTGAAGGACAAACACCACCATACAGACTACCTTCTCTCCCCTGTGGACCATGGTAGAAAGAAGAACAATCTTTACTCAGAAGAATTTTGAAAACAAAACCTAACATTACAGGGGATACATAAAGACACATTAGAATGGGGCAAGAGGGCACAGAATAGACCAGTCAGTAGGCATGGTGGGGGAGGAATCGCTTCTGTCACGCTTTTCTTGTCTGCAGATGCTAATCATTTTCCAAAACCCCACTTAACTCCTAACAGAGGAGGATCACAACATGTCCCTTCAAATTTCACTCATCATAAGCAACACTGTATATTGTGCATGTTCTTTTGGGGACAAAGACGGGTTTCTCATTTTATTTCCACTCAAAGGTGTTGAATTTACATTCAAATTTCTAACACTAGGATCAGCAGAATCTACTTTAATAATCCATAATCAGCTTCTGAAGACTTCTGTCATGGTTTCAGTTGGGATGGAGTTAACTTTCTTGCTAGCAGCTGGTATAGTACTATGTTTTGGATTCATGATGAGAATGGTGTTGATAGTGCACTGATGTTTTTGTTGTTGCTATGAAGTCAAGGCCTTTTCTGCTCCTGCCCCACCAGTGAGTAGGCTGGCAGTGCACAAAAAGTTAGGAGGAGACACAGCTGGGACAGCTGACCCCAACTGCCAAAGGGATATTCCATACCATGTGATGTCATGCTCAGTATAGAGCTGAGTGAAATAGGAGGAAGGGGGGTACATTCAGAGTGATGGCATTTGTCCTTCCAAGTAACCATTATACTTGATGGAGCCCTGCTTTCCTGGAGATGGCTGAACACCTGCCAGCTGATGGGAACAAGGAATTCATTCACTGCTTTTGCTTTGCTTCCGTGCGTGGCTTTTGCTCTACCTATTAAACCATCTTTATCTCAACCCATGAGGTTTTTTTTCCTCCCATTTACTCTTCCAATTCTCTTCCCCATCCCAACTGGGGAGAGTGAGCGAGTGTCTGCATAGGCTGGTTAAACCATGACAGGTTACATCTTGATTTTTGTAGTGTATGACTATTACATCTGTAATAGGATCAAGCAAACAATACTCTTTCCTCCCATCCAGGCAACTACCCATTTCCATTTTAGCACCAAGAGGATTCCAGGAGGAGCAGATAGAAAATAATTTCTTTGATTTTTTCCCCACAAACTGTTACAGCTCTTTTCTTTGGTTTTTTTTTTTTGTTGTTGTTGTTTGTTTGTTCATTCAGGGCTTTTTTTGTTATTGTTTTTGGTTGGGGGAGGAATGTTAGGTGGTTTTCTTTGAGGTTGCATAGAAAAATGTAGCCACTGAGGTAATAGGAGCATAGCTGCTATCAGGTAATGCAAATATAAATGCAGATTGCAGCATGCCGAAAGAATTTGGAAGAGAATGCTACACATGGTATAAGATTTTTTTTCAGGAAATATAAGCTAAAGTTTTTTTTTAAATATTCTCTCTACTTTTGAAGATAGCTTTAGTCATCTCAAACAGCAGAGAGATGAAAATAGAAATAATTTCTATTTTCTTAAAAGTGGAAACAAAACCATAAGAGGCCTATTCTACCTACATCAGGACACTTCCATAAAGTAAGCATACTTAATACAGTCTGGATTTGGAGTAGAACCTCTTGCACAGGAATTCGTATAGGTAGACAGCAGCTCTGACACCTGCACCATCTCCGCTCAAACTATGCTTCCCTAGTCGCCAGCCTGGAAAAAGAGAGCCCGGCTAAGCAGAGGCTCTCGTCTCTCTTCCACCTACTGCACAGTTCCAAATAGTCTGAGTGGGAGCCCGTGGACTAGATCCATCTTGCAGGATGATTTCACCTGCTTGCTCCTTTTTCTGCTGTGGCTTCCATCTGCAGCAGATGTGGAAAGGAAGGAGAAAGGACAAGCTAACAACTGCTATGTAACATTTAGCTCTATAACCAGAAAGAAGTCGTTGTCACTTCATGAATCAAGAAGTTGACAAATGTTTCCCCGAACTGGCCTTCAATCCACAGCACCAAAACCCTGAGCTTTCCAATCAAGGATGTAGACTCGTATATCCACTGTTAGCACACCAATGAAACAAGAATGGGATGGAAAAGATAGACATGTGGAATTAATGTGCAGAACAGGAAGAGTGAAAAGATGACAATTACCTGGACAAGCAAAATAACAAGATAAACAAATCTCATAACTGAGGAATTTCCTGCCTGCTTCCTTGTTCCCAAAGGAACCTAAGGTGGAACCACAGGATGGAAGAGTGAAAAACCCTGCAAGCTCTGCTCCTCTGGCCACTCCAGACAGATTACATTCTATATCATTGTGGTTTCTTTGGTTTGGTTTGTTCATTTTTAAAGCTATTTATTCTTTTATACACTTGCTTCAGAGTATCTTTGCTGTAAAGTATATCTTCGATTGTTGATAGTAGAGGTCATCAAATGAAGCTGGAAGGTGCAGATTCAAGTCACATTTAAGCTGTCCTGTTCTTATTACTGTCACATATACCTGCTTTTGGCCACTAACAAGTATTTTGGAGGGGTTACAGCTGTGGTCTAGATCTGGTACAGTTGTGTCTTTATGTTTTTAAAGTAACCAGAAATAAAGTTTGATTGCACAAGCCAAAGCACTTTTAAGTGTAGAGATCCTCAGTAATTAGGACTTTCAAATATGCTCCCTCTGTCAGCATTTTGAAATAGCCAAGAACATTTTTAGAGAAAAATAAGGTATGACTATTTAACCAAAGTGAAGATTTACTTTTTAAGTAGTTGATTTGATTGATTACTGTACATTGAATCAGCTGTAAAAAAAGTAGGAAAGAATGACATTGTTAAAAATACAGATACCTACAGCCACACCATTTGTAATTGTAGTCTCCGTACCTTGAGGCATACCTTCACATATACCATTTAAGTTAAAGCAATTTTTGTTAATTCAGTACAGGAAGTGACCATTTTTGCACTGTAATTAGCCAGAAAAATAGTGAATTGTGAACATCAGGCTTCCACTGCTCAGGCTCCTGCTGTTCTCTTTCAGTAGTTAGATATCATTTTTATGTATTTAATTTAGTCACAGAGATTTAAATTTCAGATTAACAAATACACCCCACCTTTGCCTAAATATCACTGTCTTGCACTACTCAGCACTACTGCTCATCCACACCTTTCCTACAGTTTTTTGGATAATTTTACCCTCATTAATCTGTAGGACAAAAAAAAAAATAAAATGAGAACTACAGCATTTTTGCAGACTGTCTGGAGAGGCACAAAGCAATGGAATGATTACAAGCTAAAACAGAAGTATGTCCACTCACACATCTGTAAGGCACTGTGTAAAGCATTATTAGAAGTGCAAAAACCATATCTATTCGTACACAGGAGTTCAAGATGGAGAGCTTTCACCACAGATTTTAAAAATGAACTGAGTTCTTTCTTGCCTTGTTTGCCTGTTTACAGATAAATTACATTCTTTAAGTTTTTGGAATTTGCATCTCTAAAATGTTTATCCTGGTTTCAGCTGTGGCAGAATTAGTTTTCTTCCCAGTAGCTGCTGTGTTTTAAATTTAGTATGAGAATAATGCTGATAACATATTGTTTTAGTTGTTGCTAAGTAATGTTTACATTAGTCAAGGACTTTTTCAGGTTCCCATAGAAGCTGAGAGGGAGCATAGACAGGACAAGCTGGCCAAAGGAATATTCCATACCACAGATGTCATGCTCAGTATCTAAATGGGGGTTGGCCGGCAGGCCGGAATTCACAATAGTTGCTTAGGATGGGCTGGGCAACCGATCATCAGGTGGTGAGAGCGACTTGTGTTGTATCACAGTCTTTTACCATTATTATCATTATTATTATCAATAGTATCATTATTATTTTCCTCTCGTGTTACTATTCTATTAAATTGTCTTTATCTCGATCTGCGAGCTGTTGTTTGTTTGTTTGTTTTTTCTCCCCGCTCCCTTTTCTCCCTCTTCTCCCTACTCTGCTGGGAGCGGGGAGGGTAGTGAGTGGCTGCATGGTCCTAATTGCTGGCTGGGGTTAAACCATGACACCTTGAAATGAATCATAGAATTGTCTAGGTTGGAAGAGACCCTTGGGATCATCAAGTCCAACCATCTACCCTACTCTACAAAGTTCTCCCCTACGCCATATCCCCCAATGCCACATCTAAATGGGTCTTAAACACATCCAGGGATGGTGACTCAACCACCTCCCTGGGCAGCCTATTCCAATGCCCAACCACTCTTTCTGTGAACATTCTTTCCTAATGTTAAGTCTAAATCTATCCTTTTGGAGCTTAAAGCCATTCCCTCTTGTTCTGTCATTAATTACCTGTGAGAAGAGACCAGCACCAACCTTTCTACAGTGTCCTTTCAAATAGTTGTAGAGAGTGATGAGGTCTCCCCTCAGCCTCCTCCTCCTCAAACTAAACAGTCCCAGCTCCTTCAACTGCTCTTCATATGATTTGTTTGCTGGGCCCTTCACCAGCTTCATTGCCCTCCTCTGCACTCACTCCAGCACCTCGATATCTCTCTTGTATTGAGGTGCCCAAACCCAGACACAATACTCGAGGTGTGGCCTCACCAGTGCTGAGTACAGGGGCACAATCACCACCCTACTTCTGCTGGCCACACTATTTCTAATACAATGCATTCCTACTCTTCTGAAAGTACTCTATTAATCACAATTTAAAAAAAAAAAATAATCCTTAAGGCTGACAGTGCATTTACCTCAGTAGCTTCCTCTTCTTTGCGGAGTCGGCAGGGGCTCGGGGGGCCTTGCCCACCTGTTTCCCAGGGGTGCGGAGAAGGGCCCGTGCAGACTTCAGCCACTCGCTGGCCGGTCGTGCTGTAACATCCCTTGTGTCCACTCCTGACCTCGACCGTAATCTCTTAGCAGATCCTGGAGTAGTGGTCACCAGGCCAGTCTCTCGTTCTCCCACGCTGTCATTGTCGGATGAATACTCAGAAATTTCTGTTGAAGTTGTCTAAGCAAATAAAAATATAAAGCTATTTAAACAGAATGCTAATGGGAGAGTACAGATTTATGTAGGCAGTTATTTATGTTCCCTAGTAATCCATAAATTGAATGCAAGTTTATTGATTAATATAACCCACACAACTTCACTGTAAATACACATTTATCTTTTGTAAGTCAACATGAACTCCTGAATATAAGGACTATCTCTTAAGGGACAATTGGGATGAGGAGCATTTATTTTTTCAAACAACTTGATCTAGAGAATTTATCAAAACGATAAGCTAATGCTTATCTCTACAGGAGAAGTTTCCAGACAGGTGTCAGGATTAGAGCAAGTTTTCAGGAAAGCAGAAAGAGGCTAATGAGTGACAGGGACTGTGGCTGGCAGGAGAGCTGAGAGAAAGGGAGCTTTCACATCAGGATTCAAGTAGGACAGCTGGATTCCATAGCCTGAATGGAGGGAAGAAACACATGCCTCTATTGAGAACTCGTAGCTGGCAAGAAGTATGTCAGCTTTTGTTAAAACAAAATTTTGACCACGAAAGCTGGCCTTCACCCATGTCCAGCAGACCTCTAGCTTCCCAGGAAGTTTTCAGAAGTTGAGCATAAGCTATCAGACTGCATCCAGGGAGCTCCATGGAGGATTGATCACTGGTCAACAGCCAGGGCTGTGAACAAGTGGGGCTGGAGTTCAGACTCATAAAACCTCACAGGACACACTGAACTCATCCCACCAAAGGAAGAATGAGAGGAGAGGATGAGAAGGCCCAAAAACAAGCCTGCAAAGAGATGTGGAAGGCTGAGGAGAGGGCTGGCAGGGAAAATCCACCTGCTTTGGGTCAGCTTGTTTTACTCTCCTCTAGGGCTCCTGCACAAGCAGGGCAAGGCAGCTGGGTTGGCACAGTTACGTATGTTATGCTCTCCTGACCCAGTATTTCTTGAAGTACTGAGTATTAAGCAAAAATACTGGGAAAGTGGCATTTTACCTAGTACAGAACAAAATGATCGAAAACTCTGAAATAGGCAGAAGACTAAGAAACATGAGCTGGGCTCAGCCTTCAGGAGCTAGCTGGAAAAAAAACAATACTGTGCAAGTTCTGGTGGGGTAAGCATAGCAACAGTCCCATCACTGGGACCACCAACACTAGCACAGCTCAAGGAGGCTTGCACAAGACTGTTGTTCTGTAGAAGCAGCAAGTTAAGTAACTCAGCCTGACCCTTGAAAGAACCAAAACCCAATGCAAAACATTAGGTTCACATTATCAATGAGGAACCAGAAAACCCCAAAGACTGACTTTGCTCCAGATCATGCTGCCCCGATCACAGAATAGGTCCTAAAAGAAATTAGCCTGTTCCTCTGGTCTGATGCAGCAAACAGCTCTCCACACAGGTTGTCTGACAACTGGCCCAGATAGACTTTAAAGATAAAAGAGGAAAGGGAGGGAAAACACTGCATTCACTAATGCAGTTGTATGTTATTAATTAGTGTAATCATCTGAAACCAACATTTCTCAACTGTGCACAAAAATGAGTTCAGCTCTTGCCAGTTCTTTAATACATTCTTCAGGTAAATGATGAGACACTGCATTCATGTTCTGAGAGCTTACCTAAGTATTCTGGAAATTGGAAGGACCTTTTAAAGTTACCCAGAGAAGGAGAATAGCTAGAAGAATGTAATTAATATCAGCCTGTTTTAAACACAACACAGTCAACATTCGTCCCTTGGCAACAATATTTCTCTGAAAACAAACTCCTTCCACATTGGAAAAGGGCCAAAAATAAAAGGTTTTGAACAGTACGAAAGCAGTGAGCAAGCACTTCATTCTTAAAACACCATTCCAAGGCACACTTTTGCTTTAGGAATGCTTTAATTTTGCTCAAATTTTTACGATATCCACTGGACCTAAATAAAGGATGCAAACTTGAAGTTCTTTGAGCAAGTAAAATGCAAATGAGGAAAGCCCTTGGGATGTGCTTCAAGTTGAGCACATGCTTTAATCCCACTGACTGTTGTAAGAGTTAAGAAGCTTTCTTAAGTAAAGACTGTCTAATAAATCATTTCATTCTTCTGCTAATATTTATTATTGTATACTTGTTTAGACTTAACTTCCCCAAGGAAACCATACTTTGGGGATTTTGTTTTGGTTTGTTTGCTTGTTAGAGTTTTGGTTGGGTTTTGTTGTTTTGGGTTTTTTCTTTTAATTGGTCAGTTGGAAATTTTTCTTAAAAGAGGAAGCTACAAAAAAATGGAGAAGAAAAACAAAGAACAAAACCTCAGCCTTCCAATTCCGTATATTATTTAACTGTAGCCACCATCAGAAACATGGTCTGAAGAGAAAAATATTTTAAAAACATACAAATACGATTTTTCAAGTATTCAGTAAACAAGCTGGCATGTCTACCAATTTTACAGTGGTGGAAAGTTGGCAAAAAAATTAATTAATTTCTTGGGTTCACCTTAAAACAATCATTAATAAATAGTGAAAAATTGTTTACCGATTACAATATATCTTAAACATCGCAAAGCTGAATTTTCAGGAGTTTTTTTTAATTTAAGGAATATCCCCAGTAGTATCACTGAGAGGTTCTAAAGGACGTCACTGCTAAGCACAGAGAAGTGTCAAATTAAGAGTAGTCGACTTTTCCATGTTGCTTGTTACTTCAAAATGTAGTCATTTTTAGTTATGGTGGCTGAAAGTACACTGCTCCCCACCACACACAGGCTCTGCTTCCCCACCTCAATCCCTTCCTTCAACCCGAGCCCAATCTAATCATCCCCATCCTGGGGTTTTCCATGACTGTCTCCCACATATCCCAATCACTCCAAATACTTGGTAGTAGACCGTTCACTAAGATTTACCTATCACTTCCAATGATGGCCTTGCCACAACACCCTCTTTTTGTATCATGCTAACCACTCTTCATGTGCAGGGGCTGACTTCAATCTCTCTCACCAAAACAACAAACGTGGTTCATTTTGTTCACTTTTAGAATAAACAGATTTACTCCGGGACTAGTTTAATTTGAAAGGTTCTAAATGCTTCCCTTTCATGGTTCTTTCTTTTAAGGAAAAATTACTTTAGTATAAATGCACAGAATACTGCCATTTTTTCTGATGAGATTTGGATACAGGAAAACAAAGTCAGTGAGTACTGTAGCTGAGCATCCAGGACCCCATAATTTTAAAGATAAGCATGTTTAAACCAAAATTGATCAAAAGAGAACTCTCAAGATGAATTAATTTATGACGTATTTTTGACAGCACTCACCAGTACTAGCTAATGTAGAAGATGGTACAAATGTAAAAATAGAAACCAGAATAAGTTAAACAGTTAAGATTGCTAAAGAATATATGATTACCTGTGTCAATTTAAATTCATTTTAAAAAAAATCACCGAAAAAACCAACCACAGAAATGGTAAAATCCTGGCCCAAATTGTTCAAAGACAAAACTCTTGACTTCAGTGAAATTAAGATAGCATTCCATAAGCACTTAGATTTTGCACACAGGCAACACAGAAGATACTATGCTGTTACTTCTGTGACCAAGTACTCACTCCCTCCCCCTTCAGAGATTTGCTTCAGCTATTTGTTGGTTCGCCTTGAACACTTTGTGAGTCCTTTGGGAGTACCTTTGCAATCTTCACAGCATTTCCCTCTAAAGGATCTGAAAAAAAATACCTTTTCACTTCAATAATGATGGAAGCAAGAAATATCTTTATTTGATCACTTTAAGCACTCAATATTTCTTATCAATAAAATAGTAGTAATTTAATGTAAGAAGTGTTACATTTCCTTTTGAAGTTTCCAGCTTCAGCACAGAAAGCAGAACTGTACAAAGCTTTCTGTAAAAAAAAGCTATCCTATTGAAAATATACTACATCTGTTGTTTTTTTTTTTTAAAATACACACTCTCATACAGTGATTGCTAATTAGGGGAGCAGTTGGGAGAGTTTCTCATCCCCCTTGGCTCTCCTCCCAAGATACATCACTCAGTGAAACTTTCCTGTGGAAAAATGTCAGTACAGGCACCCTACTTTTCTATTGGTTAAACACCTTCACTTGTTCAGTCATTGACCATTCAGAAAACGCTGTAAATCTTTTCCAGTTGATATGAAGATATCTTGCAGACATGAAGCTCAACAAAAGCTCACAGATATTTTGAACAAGTTCATCAGCTCAAACTAAGATGTGTTGGCATGCTGCAGCATGTCCAAATCTCCTCTTATAAAAAAAATGGTTATCAAATTCTATATATACACCAAAATAACTTTTTGCAGATGGAGATAACTTACTCTGTCATTTCCTTCCCTAAAAATAATAAATTTCTTCCCTCCTGTTATGTTACTACAGCTTAGCTTGAATGGTAGAAGAACTAATAGGGTTTCTCAGATGGCACCCTTAGGGAACCAGGTTTTCTCAAGGTCACAGAGCCAAGTTATGTCAGAAATGGAAATAGTATTTGAGAGTTTTAGACTTTGATCACTGTACTTACAGAGGAAAATTAATCTCGTGGCATTTCCTTTCCTACTTGTTCTTTCACATATCTTTGCTTCTAACTCTGGAAGTATTTTCTATTATGCCCTGCTTGTTCCCTCATGGACTATCTTTTTCTCTTTCCTGATTCCCTCACTCTTCTCAGAGGTCATTTGTATTCCTCTTAACAGCCCTCTCATAACAGCTCTCAACATGGGTGGAAGCTGACTGTTATTAACAAACACACACAGCAAACTTAAGCAACTATCCTACCACCTCTGCTTTTATACAGTCTTCCCTTCTGACAAGCAATGCTGCATTTGCACTGCTGGTACTCTTTGCTGTCATGCATGCAAAGGGATTCAAACACAGCAAACTTCTACCCCAGGGTGTTAGTTACAGGTTGCAAGATTTTTATACCTTGAGTGGTACTCTCCAAAAAAAAAAAAAAAACCACCAGAAAAGCCACTGGATTTGCTACAATGAATATTCACAAGCATAAATCAACAGTGCAGTATGTCAAAGGCCCAG